TACAATCTGGGAACCTTTCTTTTTTCTTTTCTTTTTTTTTGAGACGGAGTGTTGTTGAGTGCAATGGCACGGATCTTAGCTCACTGCAACCTCTGCCTCCCGGGTTCAAGCAATTCTCCTGCCTCAGCCTCCCGAGTAGCTGGAACTACAGGTGCCCACCACCATCCCTGTCTAATTTTTTTTTCTGTATTTTTAGTAGAGACAGGGTATCACCATGTTGACCCGGCTGCTCTCGAACTCCTGACCTCAGGTGATTCACCTACCTCGGCCTCCCAAAGTGCTGGGATTACAGGTGTGAGCCACCACACCCAGCCCTTTTCTTGCTTATATGCCCTACATAATAAATGGAGAAAAAATAAAATTGCTTTTACAGCGGCCCTTACAGACCTCACCTTTCTAGATCTTCTGTTTTTGCAACAAATCTTCATATACTCAAACAATGAAGTAAATTATCATTTGTTGTCTATCCTACCCTCCACCCCTAAATCTCTCAACCTGTGATAAATTAGAAAGAGCAGGTTCTAGCTTTGGGATCTTTTTAGAAGGAAAAAATATCTTCACTGGTAAAGAAAATGAGCTGAAATGCCCTTAAAGATCCACTCAATAAATCTCCTATCTTCAGTTATATCACAAATGAGTGACACAAGGTCTCACTCTTTGTTTCAGGATGAAAAGCAATGTGAAGAGTTAGTTTAAAACTGCTAAAAGAAGAAACAAGCAACATTTTAAAAGCCAATATTTGCAGAAGCCTTTATTTCAAATCTGTTTTGCATAAAAGTAGCAGCCTGCTCTCTACCTCTTGGCTTCATCATTAAGTAGGGAGTGACACTTACGCCAGCTGTGCACAGAGCAAGGCAAAATGCTTAAATACCAGAATCCTCTAGTACTCCCAACACAGTGTGACAGGTCAGATGTAGTTGTGAACATGGGTTAATGCAGTGAAATTCTGCACATGCATTTCTGGAGAATATTCTCCAGGAATTAGAAAAGCCTTGAGGTATTACGTTTGGTACAGAGTTCTGTTCTAACCACCATGGCCTGCTCTTTCTGGGAGGCAGCTATAATGCCACAAGAAAATGACTAGACTGATCCAGTCTCAGCTCTGCTGCTTACCACTTGTGTGATCTTTCAAAAGTCCAACTCCGTAAACATTACTATCTACCTCAGAGTTTGAGGAAAGGTAAGGATTACATAATATATAGAAAAATGCTATGCAAAGTTTTGGTGTTGCTCTAGTTTACACATATACCTTCTGTTTACACACAAATGACCTGGCATGTCCCCTCATGGCTTAAAAACCATCCCGTACCGTACTATACCAATCACCCCCATCCCCTCCCCTGTGCCATACCTCACCCCACCACAGACATATCCTTCCCTAACAAACATATCCTTCTCTATTTCTGCTATATTATCTGATGTGCCCCTGATCTTCATTTACTGAAAACATATTCAGGTAACCCTTGAACCACATAGCTTTGAATTGCCTGGGTCCACTTACACACAGATTTTACAGCCCTTCCCACACACAGATTTCACATTTTTTAGATCCATGTTTCAATCAAACATGGATCTAAAAAACAATATTCTTGAATGTGAAATCTGTATATGTGGAGGGCTGACTTTTTAATTTTTTTAGAGACAGGGTCTCACTTTGCTACCCAGGCTGGAGTACAATAGCATGTGATCAGCTCACTGCAGCCTTGAACTCCTGGGCTCAAGTGATCCTCCCACTTCAGTCTTCCTAGTAGCTAGAACTACAGGCATATAACACGACACCCAGCTAATTTTTGTGGGGATTTTTGGTGGAGATGAGGTCCTGCTATGTTGCCCAGGTTGGTCTCAAACTCCTAGCCTCAAGTAATCTGTCTACCTTGGCCTCCAAAAGCGCTGAGACCACAGCTGCTTTTCTTACATGTGAGTTCCACAGGGTGACTGTGGAACTTAAACATGCATGATTTGATTGTACACAGGCAGTCCTGAAAAATGACTATGTCCATGGGGACTGGTTTTACAACTCCCCCATACCAAAATCCATGAATGTGCAAATCCCTTATATAAAATGGTGTAGCATTTGCAAATAATCTACCCACATCCTCCCTTTAAATCCTATCTAGATTATTTATAATACCAAGTACAATGTAAATGCTATGGCAACAGTTGTAATATTATACTGTTAGGGAATAAAGGAAAAAAGTCTCTATGTACATGTTCAGTACAGATGCAATCATCCATTTTCTTCCCCCCAAATATTTTCAATCCATAGATGGCTGAATCCAAGGTGTGGAACCCATGCATACAGACAGCCAACTGTATTCATCCTCTAAAACTTGGCTCAAATGTCACCTACTCACAGAAGCTGCACTGAATCCTTTCTGTGAAATCTGTTACATATCTCTGCTGATATTTTTTGTTATTTGAGGCAGGATCTCACTCTGTCACCCAAGCTGGAGTGCAGTGGCATGATCACAGCTCACTGCAGCCTCAACCTCTTCAGCTCAGGTGGTCCTCCCACCTCAGCCTTCAGAATAGCTGGGACTACAGGCCCACACCACTACATCTAGCTAATTTTTGGTATTTTGTTTTGTAGACATGAGGTTCTGCCATGTCGCCCAGGCTGGTCTTCAACTTCTGGGCTCAAGTGATCCACCCACCTCAGCTTTTCAAAGTGCTGGAATTACAGGTATGCATTACATGCATTACAGCTCCTGGTCTGTTTTTTGTTTTTGTTTTTTTTTTAAGATGGATCTTTGCTCTTGTCAAGCATGGTAAAGTGCAATGGTGCCATCCTGGCTCACTGCAACCTCTACCTCCTGGGTTCAAATGATTCTCCCGCCTCAGCCTCCCGAATAGCTGGGATTACAGATGCATACTACCACACCCAGCTAATTTTTATATTTTTAGTAAAGACTGGGTTTCACCATGTTGGCCAGGCTGGTCTCAAACTCCTGACCTCAGGTGATCTGCATGCCTCAGTCTCCCAAAGTGTTGGGATTACAAGCATGAGCCACTGTGCCCAGCCTCTTGTCTGTTAATCTCTTAATGTGTTTCTTTTATACCTTGGTTATAGAGACTTAGACCCACTACACTGTGTAAGTAACCAGTTATATACTAGTCTGACTGGAAAGTCCGAGAAGATGGGATGCTAAATCTCATTTACCTTCCTTGCCCCTTGTGCTTGGGAGTTGGAATATCAGCTTTGCAACTAAGTAGTAAACTCAGTCTCTCCAGATCTGTAAAAGGAGATGGTTAATCTACAATTATTTTCTTTTTTTTTTTTTTTTGAGACAGAGTTTCGCTCTTGTTACCCAGGCTGGAGTGCAATGGCGCGATCTCGGCTCACCGCAACCTCCGCCTCCTGGGTTCAGGCAATTCTCCTGCCTCAGCCTCCTGAGTAGCTGGGATTACAGGCACGCGCCACCATGCCCAGCTAATTTTTTGTATTTTTAGTAGACACGGGGTTTCACCATGTTGACCAGGATGGTCTCGATCTCTTGACCTTGTGATCCACCCGCCTCAGCCTCCCAAAGTGCTGGGATTACAGGCGTAAGCCACCGCACCCGGCTACAATTATTTTCTTAGAGTGAATTAATACAGAATCAGAGAGAAAGCTAAAATTCTATATCCATGTTTCAGAATCTTTACAATTTTTTTTTTTTTGAGAGACGGAGTTTTGCTCTTGTCATACAAACTGGAGTCCAAAGGCGTGATCCTGGCTCACTGCAACCTCCACCTCCTGGATTCATGTGATTTTCCTGCCTCTGCCTCCCTAGTAACTGGAATTACAGGCGCCCACCACCACAACCAGCTAATTTTTTTATCTTTAGTAGAGATGGAGTTTCACCATGTTGGCCAGGCTGGTATTGAATTCCTGATCTTAGTTGATCCAACTGCCCTGGCCTCCCAAAGTGTTGGGATTACGGGTGTGAGCCACTGTGCCTGGCCCTACAATTTTTATATTGGACAACAGCTCTAGGTAGTTTTCACTGAATTCCTATTTAGACTGAATTTCACTATCACATACATGATAAAGCCAAGAATAAATTCTAAAACTGTTACCTTAAAATCCTATCTTGGACAATTTTTAATTATTGACTAAATATTCATGATTCTCTAGAATTTACTGATTTCACAAAAGCAGAAATTTCCATACCAACTTGCTATGTTTATATATATAGCTTCTTTTTATCGTGTGCCAACAACTACAGCAGTAGCAGTAGTAAACTAGTCGCATCTTGTACCAATACCACTGACTGACTCAGCAAGCTGTCAGGGTACAGGTTCTTAACTTGTGTAAATCTCCTCAAGGACAAGAACTCTATTTTTTTTTTTTTTAATTTTTTTGAGATGGAGTCTCGCTCTGTCACCCAGGCTGTAGTGCAGTGGCACAATCCCAGCTCACTGCAACCTCCGCCTCCCAGGTTCAAGCAATTCTCCTGCCTCAGCCTTCTGAGTAGCTGGGATTACAGGCATGTGCCACCACGCCTGGCAAATTTTTTTTTTTAACTTTTAGTGGAGATGGGGTTTCACCATGTTGGCCAGGCTGGTCTCAAACTCCTGACCTCAAGTGATCCACCTGCCTTGGCCTCCCAAAGTGCTGGGATTTGAGGCATAGGCCACCATGCCCAGCCAAGAACTCTGTCTTAATACATCCTTCATATTCCCAGCATCTAGCTCCATCTTGCAAAAGGACAGCATTCAGCAGTGTTTATGGAATTAATGGTCTTGAATTCCATTGTCTAGACACTGTGATCTCACTACATATCCTGGAAGAAAAGATGCCCTATTCAGCAACAGATATTAGTGGTAAAATGGATGCTAAGGCATGGATTTTCATAGCTATCCTCAAAGTTATATATTAACATATATTTCTAATAACAACTTATTTAAAGGCCCAAACATATGCCAATAAGCAATCCATAATAACTTTTTTATGACACTTGGGAGAATAAAGTTCCTGAATCTTCACTACTTCAAGAATATACCACAGATGAACTTACCATCATCTAAAGTGATGTCCTGCAGACCAATTGTTGCAAAGTTAGGCTCCTGATCTTCTGGTTCAGGTTTAATGCTCACAGTTGCCCCGTCAGGTGGAAATGAAGTTGGATCACACAAACTGTGACATATTAAAGATGAAGGTGCAGAAAGACCCCTCTGGCCTGTATTTTGTGCTTGAGTTGAGCGCTGTCCAGAATGCATTCTGGTGGCTGGAGACGGTGATGAAGCAATTCCTGAGCTAGGAGACTGGTAAGACATGGGCTGAAGCTGAGGAGATGGTGGCCCAGAAAGTGGTGAACTAGCCAAGGGATGAGAAGCTGCTGGGGAAGCTGTTGCAGCAGACCCTGAATGTGAAGGACCATATGTAACAGGTTGCAACTGAGAAGAAGGTTGACCTGTGATCTGGTCAGCCACTGGAGAAGAAAGAGATCTTTGTCCTGTATTTGAACAATGATATCCCATTGATTGCAGATGAGGCAGGGTATGCACAGAATGAGGTGTATGTGCTAAGAGATGTCCTGTTGAGCCTGAATTTGAAGAATGAAATGGTATGGATGACAGTGGTTGACAGCCAAGATTCACTAAACTAGGAAGAGCTGCATCCTGCTGAAACAAAACTGAATCAAATTCTTGACTAGAGGCAGCATTAATAGGAAGACAAGTTGGTCCATTGTACACAATGTTAGTTTGCATAGACTGATAGGAAGATCCCACAGGAGGTGTTGGTGTGACTTCAAAAGGCTGGTGTACAACTGGAGAAGGAATCATATGCTGTTCTTTACTAGCACTCTCATCTCTATACTGCAACTGTGGCAGATGGGATGAGGTCACCATGGATGCATATGTTTGTGGGATGGAACAAACCAAACTTCTCTGTGTTGACAGTACACTTTCGTGTGGGTGCTCTGAATCAGAAGAAGGCCTCTGGGTCTGAGCAGGATGAGGCACAGGCAAAGATGGAACTGAAGACAGATCAATCTCTTCTCTGTGCTCTTGCTTCATCAAAACTGAAAAGACAATGATTAAAGCAAATATTAATACATAATACATAAAATAATTATGACAGGTCTTCATGCTAGGTTACACAACTATAGCATAAGCTGAGGGGCAAACTCAAATGCCTTTAAGGATGGCAGTTCATGTAAAATATCGTATATGTATGTCTGTGTGTCTGTGTAGACATATATATATGTATAGATATACATGTTTTGCTTGTGTATAACATGAATATCTCTGGGAAGATGCATAAGAAACTATGCTAGAGTTGCTGTTGGGAGGGAAAACTTGGTGACTAAGGGACAGAATTTGGAGGTTTACTTTTTACTATATACTTTTTTATGGCTTTTGAATGTTTTTCACTGTGTATTTATTACCTATTCAAAAGTAACTAACTAAAACAAAAAACAAAGCCCTGTGGCCTAAGAAAGTATTGAATTTGGGATCCCTGATCGCAAACCTACCAGTCACCTGGTTTTACATGTTGCATCATGTACCAGAAATCATGACTCTGACATACATAGAACTTCTGCTTGACAACAGTTCTCACATGCATCTCATTTGATCCTCTGCCATCATGTGGGGATCAAAAAAAGTACTACAATTCACAAAATAACACAAATTCTGCAAAGTTGAGAGATACAAAATCAACATACAAAAATAATAAGTTATACAACTTATTCTATAAACTAGTAATAAACAATCCAAAAAGAAAATTTAGGAAATAATTTCTCTTTCTTTTTTTTGGAGACAGGGTCTCACTCTGTCACCCAGGCTGCAGTGCAGTGGTGCAATCTCGGCTCACTGCAGCAAGTAATCTTCCCACCTCAGCCTCCTAAGTAGCTGGGATACAGGTGTGAGCCACCAAGCTCATGTTCATTTTTCGTCGAGATGAAGTCTTACTATGTTGCCTAGGCTGGTCTTGAACTCTTATGCTCAAGCAATCCTACCATCTCAGCCTCCCAAAGTGCTGAGATTACAGGCATAAACCACTGTGCATAGCTAACAATTTCACTTATAAAAATATAAAAAAAGAATAAAATACAGGTATTGATCGACTTACGACCTATGCAACTTACGACCATTTGACTTTACAACCACAATCGCTAGCCACGACTGCTCTGCGTCTGGCAGCACAAACGTTGCCCGGCTGGGCGTATGACAGTGCGGACCAGCTTCTAGCAGCACTACCATCTCCGCGTGCACCATTTCAACTGTTATCCCAGACTCGGTACAGCAATTTGTGTTTTGTGTCTTGGATATTTTTCGTCACACCCCTCCCAAGATGTCTACCAAGAGGAAATTGTCTTTGTCTACGCCTCAGCCTGCCAAGAAGGAAAGAAAGGCCATCGATCTCGACACGAAAATGAAGGTAATTAAGCAGTATGAAGGAGGAAAGAAAGTGAATGTGATTGCACATGATACGAAGTTATCACACTCGACTGTGTCGACGATTTTGAAAGATAAAGAAAGAATCTGTGAAGCTGTGAAAGGTTCTGCACCCCTGTGATCAATAGTTATAACAAAGCAATGAAGCGGGCCCATTCACGAAATGGAGAAATTGCTATATATTTGGATGGAAGATCAAATTCAAAAATGGCCAATAAAATGTTTCATACATGTTTATATATTTTGATATGTTTTGCAATTGGGAAAATGTTTCCTATGGTATTTTTTACACCTGTATTTTGTATTTTTGTATGCACCTGTATTTTTAAATTTTGTATGTTTTGCAAATATTAAACCAGTTGTACTAGTAATGCAGTGGTTTACTTAAACCTGACGAATGTAAAATTAAGAAACAAAATGGTGTACAGATGATACAAATGGCATAAAATGAACAAAGAAAATTATGATATACAACAATAATGAAAGAAAATTATGATAAAATATGACTTAAAGATTTTTATAATATCATTTCACAGTACTATACATATAGCCTACTCAACTTACGACCAAATCGTGTTACGACCAGTCTGTTGGAACCAATTTGGTCGTAAGTCGAGCACTAGCTGTACTAAGAAATGAATTTAACCATGGACGGCAAGACTCATAACTGAAACCTACAAAACACTGCTGGAAGAAATTAAAGCCCTAAATAAATGGAAAGCCTTGCCTGCCAGGTTCATGGATTGAAGACTTAATATTGCTAAGATGATAATACTCTCCAAAGTGATCTTTAAAAAAAAAAAAATGATGTCCTTGTGTCATATAAAGTGATCTTCAGATTCAACGTAATCCATATCAAAGTCTCAGTGACAGTTTTTGCAGAAATAGAAAAAAATCACTCTAAAATACACATGGAATCTTAAGGGGTCCCAAATAGCCAACACAATCTTTTTTCCCATGTGTCCAAGGCATAAACCAGGAATAGGCATGACCAAAAGCCAAGCTGAAATAAATAAGGCATTGATTTTTTTTCTGGTTTTTATGAGATGGGCAGCACCAACCAGACGTCACTCTACCCAAGACAAGGACAACCAACATCATCTTGAAAAAGAAGAACAGAATTGGAAAAAATCAGGACTTCCTGATTTAAAAACTTACTACAAAGCTACAATAATTAAAACAGTGTGTGCCAAGCATAGTGGTTCACGCTTGTAATCCCAGCATTTTAGGAGGCCGAGGCAGGTGGATCACGAGATCAGACATTCGAGACCATCCTGGCCAACATGGTGAAACCCCGTCTCTACTAAAAACACAAAAAAATTAGCTGGGTGTGATGGCATGCACCTGTAATCCCAGCTACTCAGGAGGCTGAGGCAGGAGAACTGCTTGAACCCAGGAGGTGGAGGTTGCAGTGAGCCAAGATCGCGCCACTGCACTCCAGCTTGGGCGACAGAGTAAGACCCCGTCTCAAAAAACAAAACAAAACAAAAAACAGTATGAAACTAATATAAGGATAGACATGATCAATGGTATAGAGTCCAGAAATAAATCCTCACATATTTGGTCAACTAATCTTCAAAAACAAGAGTGCCAAAACCATTCAATAAGAAAATAACAGTCTTTTCAACAAACGATTCTGAGAAAACTAGATATCAACATGTAAAAGAATGAAGTTGGGGCCGGGCACAGTAGCTCACGCCTGTAATCCCAGCACTTTAGGAGGTTTAGGCAGGCAGATCAGTTGAAGTCAGGAACTTGAGACCAGCCTGGCCAACAAGATGAAACCCTGTCTCTTTTGTTCTTTTATTTTTTTTCCCCAAATTCCTGTTGATTTGAAAAAACACTGTCTCTACTAAAAATATAAAATTAGCCAGGTGTGGTGGCACACACCTATAATCCCAGCTACTTGGGAGGCTGAGCAGGAGAAACGCTTGAACCCAGGAGGTGGAGGCTGCAATAAGCCGAGATCATGCCACTTGCACTCCAGCCTGGGCAAAAAGAGCCAGACTTTGTCTCAGAAAAAAAAAAAAAAAAAAGAATGAAGTTGGAAACCTACCTTAAATAATGTACAAAAATTAATTCAAAATGAATCAAAGACCTACATTTAAAAGCTGAAACTTACACTATCAAGAGAATAAAATGACAACTCAGAATGAAAAAAAAATTTGCAAATAATATATGTGAAAAGAGTTTAATATCCAGAATATACAAAGAATTCCTATTACTCAACAAGACTAGAGATTTGAATGTAACCCTGGGGTTGACCTATATGAAATGGTGTGCGTGTGTGTGTGTGTGTGTGTGTGTGTGTGTGTGTGTGGTGTGTGTGTGTGTGTGTGTGTGTGTGTGTGGTTGACCTATATGAAGGGGGGGTGTGTGTATGTGTAGGTGCGCACGCGCCTGTCAGCAATTTTCTCTAAGATTGCTAATTACAAAGAATAAACCTAGAGACCGAGCATGGTGGCTCGATCCCAGCACTTTGGGAGGCCAAGGCAAACAGATCACTTGAGGTCAGGAGCTCGAGACCAGCCTGGGCAACATGGTGAAAACCCATCTCTACCAAAAATACAAAAAATAGCTGGGTGTGGTGGCATGCGCCAGTAATCCCAGCTACCTGGGAGGCTGAGGTGGGAGGATCACTTGAGCTCAGAAGGCAGAGGCTGCAGTGGGCTGTGATTATGCCATTGTACTCCAGACTGAAGACTCTGTCTCCAAAAAGTAAATTAAATAAATAAACCTAGAGATGCCATCTGGTGACAGTCTATCTGAAAGTAAAGCCAACAAAAGAAAAGCAGTAGTTTAAGAGAAAGCCTAAGATAACACTGTTTGAGCTAAACTGCATCAGAGGTCAGCCTTCTCTTTTATTGTTTAAGCTAGTCTGAACTGGATTTCTGTCATTTGCAACTGAAAGACCCTAATGTACTTCAAGACAATCTTTTTGTTTGTTTGTTTGTTTGTTCTGAGATGGAGTCTTGCTCTGTCGCCCAGCTGGAGTGCAGTGGTGCGATCTTGGCTAACTGCAACCTCTGCCACCCAGGTTCAAGCAATTCCCCTGCCTCAGCCTCCCAAGTGGCTGGGACTACAGGCATGTGCCACCACACCTGGCTAATTTTTTGTATTTTTTAGTAGAGACGAGGTTTCACCATGTTGGCCATAATGGTTTTGATCTCCTGAACTCATGATCCACCCACCTTAGCCTCCCAAAGTGATGGGATTACAGGCGTGAGCCACTGAGCCCTGCCAAGACAATCTTTATGTGGTAATTTTCACTGTTTTATAGATGAGCATACTGAATAGAAAATTAAAGATTACACAACAGTCAAATGGCATCAAAAGGTCTTGAAGCAGAGGTGGGAAGATTGCTTGAGGCCAGGAGTTTGATATAAGCCTGGGCAATATAGCAAGACCCAACAGGGCATGGTGGCTCACACCTGTAATCTCAGTACTTCAGGGGCTCGAGGTGGGAAGACTGCTTGAGTCCAGGGTTTGAATCCTGGGCAACACGGCAAAACCCATCTTTACAAAAAACACAAAAAGTAGCTGGGTGTGGTGGCATACACCTGTAGTCCCAGCCACTAGGGAGGCTTAGGGCTGATGGGGAAGAGGGAAGGACTGCTTGAGC